TGGCGAAGCGCCCGGGTTTTCGCGCTCAGCTGCGCGAGAAAGGCGTCGTAGAGGCGGTCGTGGACGTAGACGCGCTCGACGCCGGCGCAGCTCTGGCCCGCGTTCTGGTAGCCCGCCCAGCAGGCCGCGTTCACGGCGCGCTCGACGTCGGCGTCGTCGAGGACGACCATCGCGTCGTTCCCGCCGAGCTCCAGCGAGAGCGGCGTCAGCGTCCGCGCGGCCTCCGCCATCAGCGCCTTCCCGACGCGGACGCTGCCGGTGAAAAAGAGCTTGGCGACGCCCGCGGCGAGCATGCCGGAGCCGGCCTCCGGGCCCGGCAGGACCCAATGTTGAAAAAGCCCTTCCGGCAGCCCCCCAGCGGCGAGGCAGTCCGCGATAAACCCCCCGACAGGGGTGACGTTCGTGGCCACCTTGAGCAGGATCGCATTCCCCGCCATCAGCCCCATCAGGACCTCGCCAAAGGGGATCGCGAAGGGGTAATTCCACGGCGAGATCACCCCCACCACGCCGAGCGGCTCGTAGGTCAGCGTATTGCGCTTGTTTAGGAAGAGTACACTGCCTCTGGGGAGCCGCTCCGCGCGGAGGGCCCGCGCCGCGTTCGCCGCGTACCACCGGCAGGACAACAGCCCCGGCAGCACCTCCGTCGTGAGGGCGTCTTGGTGGAGTTTGCCGGTGCTCGCGGCGATCACCGCGCCGGCCCGCTCGACGTTCGCCGCGAGGAAATCGCGAATTTTCGCGAGGTGCCCCGCGCGCTCGGCGAAGGAGCGGGCGGCCCAGTCTTTTTGGGCCGCCTGGGCCTTCAAAACGGCCCCGGGGAGGTCCCCGGGGTCCTGAAAATGACCCCGGAAGAGAACGGCGCCGGTCGCGGGGTTGACCGTCTGGAAGGTGCGAGAAGACATCGGGCGTGAAAAGTCACGGGTTGGGCACGGAGAGTGGGTGTAGGTGTGCGGATCTGAAGAAATGATGAAAAAAAAAAAGAAAAAAAAAGGTTAAAACAGAGGCGAAGTGGGGTCCGGATGTACCAAAAGCATTGGCATACTTAACAGAGGTTAGAATGGCATCATAGACCCTTCCATCCCGCTGGGGGATTTAGTGTGCCCCGTTACAGCGGATTTAGGGGGGAAGGGGAGGGGGAGAGAGTTCTCTTTTAGCGTCAAACCAAACACAAATCCAAAGCAGTCCGCACCGCTTATTCACCAGTCCCATAACACCCATCAAAGATCGATTCGCGTTCGAAAGCGGGGCAACTCCTCCTCGTTGTGGACCTCCGCGAGTTGGCTTTGGTAGGAATCGTAAAGCGCGTGATACCGCGTGCGGGCGTCCGCCTCGCAGAAGTCGGCGTAGCGCAGGGTCAGCAGTTGATCCAACGGCGTCCGCGCCGTCTTCGCGAGGACCTCGCGGCCGCGCTTTCGCAGGGCCCGCTGAAGATGCGGCTCGCGCAGCAGGCAGGACCCGGGGTCGGGCGGCAGGCGGCCCGTGGAATCCGCCGGCGCCGTCAGGGCCCGCAGCAACGCGTCCTGCTCGCGGGGGTCGA